CCCCCCCCCCCCACCTCCGAAGGCCAAATGCAGACCCCCTCGCCTGTGCGCCGGGATGGAGAGGCCAATTGGCGTTACCTCGTCGCTGTCGCCGCCCCGACCTCGGGGCCCCGGGGGAGGGTGTACGTTTTTATTTATTTACCTCTGCCCGTCGGAGTCGTTCCGGTCGCACCCCCTCCCCCGCCCGGCCGCCCCGTTCCCCCACCCCCCCCCGGCCCGAACTCCGCCGCCCGTGACGCGAGATGTGGGCCCGCCTACACGCGATACTCCCCGTTCCCCCCCCCCCCCCCGGAGCCGGCGTCTTCCCCCGGCCCTGGGCCGGCATCCCAGGCCCCGACGGCTCTGGACCCGCTCGGCAGATGGTGCCTAGGGTGGGGCGACGCGGGCCACGTCTCCCGGGGGGGGGGGGGGGGAGCGGGCGGCGAGACGGCCGGGCGTGTCGGCGTACTGGCGCTCGGGCGGGGGAGGGCCGCAGGAACGCAAGAACAGCAGCGGAGCGACCCAGGAGTGGGGGCACACACACACACACACATACACACACACGCGCGTGCGCAAGGGGGCCTCCCCCAGCCGGCGAGGCCTCGCTTGCCCCCCTCCCCCTTTCGTGCGCTTCTCCGACGTCCCGCGAGTCCCCGGTTGCCCTGGGGTCGACGATTTCCCGCCAATAACCGGCCGCCTCCGGCCCCCAAGCCCAAGCAGGACAGGGGGTCAGACGCATGCCCACGGCACGGCGGCCGGGGCGAGGGGGCGGGGGAGCCCTTTCATGCCCACTGCCGCCCCCTGTCCCTCGGCCCCGGTCCTCCGGCTCTCGGCCTGTCCCGTCCCCCGCCCCCCACACAACCGCACCGCGGGACGGCATTTTCGGCAAGCGCACCCAGACCCATGGCTGAGCCCGCCCCCAGCCAGACACCGGACTCCCCCCCCCTCCCATTCCTGCCCCCCTCCTCCCCCTCCTGTTCCCCGAGAGTCCCCTTCTCCCCCTGCCTCTCTGTCTCCCCCTCCCCTCCCCCCCCCCTGCCGGCGCCCTTGCTTCCTCATCCAACCCGCCCCCCCCCCTGCCTGGAGTAGATCTTGGCTCCTGGCCCCTCGTCCCCGCGACCGGATCCCTAGTACGGGGTGTCTCCACGGCCGACCGTCCTAGGATCGCCCCCGATCTGACCTCCGCACGCGCGCACGCACGCACGCACGCGCGCGCATCCTCCCCGCCTCCCCCGGCGATGCCGCACCAGCTCCAACACTCGGTGGTCCCCCCGGGCGCCGAGCTCCATTTCCCCCTGCCCGGCCGGAGCGGCCCGCCGGCACCCGGGCCCGGCCACATGTCACACCAGTCCTCGCCCGGGCTGCCGGCCCCCTTGACACCGGCGCCCCCGGTCCCCGGGCCAAGCTCCCAATACTACTATGCCCCCGGATTGCCGGCTCTCCCGCCGCCGCCGCCGCCGCCGCACCACCACCACCACCACCACCATCAGCAGCAGCAACAGCAGCAGCAACAGCAGCAGCAGCAACAGCAGCAGCAGCAGCAGCAGCACCACCACCACCACCACCACCACCACTCGCAGCCGCATGGGCACCACTCAATCGACAGCACCTCCTCGCTGATTGACTCGTACCACACCCCGGCCGATGAGCGGCCCTTCTCCGCCAACATCATGCCTGGCCAGCCGGGCCCGCCGTCGAGTGAAGCCCTCCCCGCCGCCGAGCCGGCCACCGCGCTCTCCTATCGCATGAGCTGGGTCCAAACCCCGGCCCGCTACAGCATGGCCAACCCGCCGCACCTATTCAATGTCATGATGAGCAGCTCCACCGCGGCGGCGGCCGCCGCCAGCGGCGCCACCCCAGCACCCTACCATCCTGCCGCCGCCGGGGCCGGCGCCGCCGGCCCCAGCCTGAATGGCTCCCCGGCCATCGGCCCGGTGGCCGATCCCACGGCCCTGTACAGCACCCCGGCCGATGCGCCCTTCGCCCCGCGGCGCCAGTCGATCTTGCCCCACCTGCCGGGCGCCGACGATGCCCTGGCCTTCCCGGCCCCAGCCCTGCCCGGGGCGGACCCGGCCGGCCAGCCGCTGTCGGCATCGCACCTGCCCATGCAATCGCCCAATGGCCCGATCATGGTCCCCTCCGGGGCTGGCCGGTCGCTGGGCTTCATCCCCCCGGCCGGGCCCACCGGCGCCGCGTCCATGGCCGAGGCCGACCGCCTGTACATGACCAACATGGCCGACAACACCGGCACCACCTGGCTGGACGTCCAGGACAGCCTGAAGCGCAAGCGCCGGTCGCATTCCTTCTCCGAGGTGCAGGACTTCCGCCGGCTGCGGCTCGATGTCCCGCCGCTGGACACCGTGCGCAACTCGCTGCTCATTCACCCGGATGTCCCGGCGGCGGCGCTGCTGGTCTCCGCGCCCGGGCCCCTGGAGCCCGCCGGCCCGGCGTATCCCCGCATTTCCGACATCACCAACACCTCCTCGCCCACCATCTCGCCAGGCCCCAAGTGCGTGTCCGCACGCGCGTCCTGCACATGCCCCCCTTGGCGCATTGTGCCCTGTCCGCCCGCCCGCCCGCCCGCCAAGCTCTGACCCCCCCCCCCCCCCCCCCCCCCCCCCCCCCCGTGCCCCGGCCTCATCCAGTCGCCTTGGCGCCGGGCCCCAGCGGACAACCCCCCGGCCCGGGGGCGGCGGTCGCCCCGGCGGGAGCCAGCTGACGGCCGAGGAGAAGCGCGCGGCGCACTCCGCCATGGAGCGCCGATACCGGCGGGACTTTAATGTCCAGCTGGCGGACCTGCGCAATCTCCTCCCCTCGGCCTCCAGTCACCAGCACGATGACAACAAGGCCACGGTCATCCGCCGGACGGCCGACTATGTGATGGAATTGCGCGACATGCTGAAGGTGCGCATGCTCCGAGGGGGCGGGGTTTTTTTTTTGTCTGCCCTTCCCCTCCCTCCGCCCTCTCGCGTCAATGCGCGCCTCCTCCCTCGCTCCCTCTTTCTCCCCCTCCCCCTTCCTGACCTTCCCTCGCCGATGCACATGCGTGCATGGCCGCATGCCCGCGCGCCCCCATGGAGACAGACATGCGAGGTCTACTTCAGCCGCTTGGACCCGGACTTGCAGAAGTCCTTCCGCGCGCTGCTGCACGTGTCCAATGCGCTGGCCCAGCGCGAGGAGGTGTTCATTCGGGTGGCCCTGCTGGCGGTGTCCATCATCATCCAGCCGCCCCGGCACTCGGCCATGCAACCGAGCGTCGAGTGCTTCCGCCAGCGCGAGGAGGCCGAAATCTGCTCGCTTCTGATGATCCCCTCGCTGGCGTCGCTGACCCCCGGGCAGCTGCTGGATCCGGAGATGCTTTCCCGCCGGGCGACCTCCTACAATATGGCCCCTTGGCCGATCGATCGCTTCAAGAGCCTCATCACCCTGCCGATCATCCCGCCATCGGTGCAGATGCTCCTCCACCGCGCCGCGCCGGCCCCCGGCGGGTCATTGGCGCAGGGCCCCGGGGGGCCGCACTATGGCCAGCAGCAGCAGATGCAGCAGATGCAGCAGCATCAGCAGCAGCAGCAACAGTACTTCCAGCAGCAGCAGCAGCTTTTGCAGCGGCAACAGTTTTTGCAGCAGCAGCAACAACAACAACAGCAGCAGCAGCAGCAGCAGCAGCAGCAGCAGCAGCAGCAGCAGTTGTATCTTCAGCAGCAGCAGCTCCTTTCTATTGGGGTCATGCCCCCGCCTCCGCCTCTGGTGTCGACACATCCGAGCCAGGCCCTTGTCAGCGGCATCCCGGCCCCCGGGGTGGTGGGCTACTCGGCCCTGCCTCTCATGCCGCAGCCGGCCTCAGTGGCCTTGCCGCCGGAGCTGACTCTGGCCGTGGGGTCTGGCGGCCCGGGGGACATCGGCCCGCATGCCGCCATGTCCACACCCTTCATGCCGGGGGCCGACTCTCCCGGACCCTCGCCCGTGGAGGCCCAGCAGCAGCAGCAGCAGCAGCAGCAGCAGAAGCACCTAGACTACCAGGTACAGATCAAACAGCAGCAGGAGCTCCAGCAGCAGCTCCAGCAGCAGCGGCATCCGGCCTCGTCCAGCTCTACCGTCCCTGGGGGACTCCCGCCACCGCTGCATCCTGCGCAGCAGCAGCAGCAGCTCCGGCCGGCGGCCGCCCCCGGCACGGCCTCTGTCTATGCCGTGCCGCTGCAGGGACGCCCGGGGGCGCCGATTCCCTCGCCCGGGCCGGTGACCCTCGGCTCGCGGTCCGGCTCCACCAGCAACCTGGCGAGCATCAGCGCCCCGGGCCCGATTTCCCCGCGGATGGGGGACGGACAGCCGTCTCCGCGCGGGGAGCAGCCCCGCCCGGGCCCGCTGATGGTCCCTTCGCCGGGGGCCAGCAGCGCAGCCACCACCCCCACCGGGGCCACGGCCGCCACGCAGCAGCGCTTCTTCGGTGGCCCCGGCAGCGAAGCCTCGGCCCCCGGGTCGGCCCCCTCCTCCGCGCGGGCTACCCCGCACTTTGCCCATCCCTACCCGGCAACCGGGCCCGAGTACTTCCCCGGCGCCAGCGCCAGCGGCGGCAGCAACAATCCCCCCAGCCGGTCCGGCTCCAGCGGGGATGTTTCCTTCCCCCATGTGGGCCACCTCCATCACGCCGGCTCGCATGATGCCTACACGCTTCAGGCATGTTCCCCCTTCGCCACACACGCACACACACACACACACACACACCCTCGGGCCCTGGCGCCTCCCCTCCCCCGGGTCGCCTCTTCTCTGTTGGCCCTTTCCCCCTCGCCCGTGCCTTCCGGTTCTGGCGCTTCTGCGCACCCTCACCGGCCGCCTGCCCTCCCCTAACACGCTTGCCCGTCCCTTTTCTGTACCCCCCCCCCCCCCCCCCCCCCCCCCCCCCCCCCCCCCCCCCCCCCCCCCCCCCCCCCCCCCCCCCGCCCCCCCCCCCCCCCCCCCCCCCCCCCCCCCCCCCCCCCCCCCCCCCCCCCCCCCCCCCCCCCCCCCCCCCCCCCCCCCCCCCCCCCCCCCCCCC